CTGTCTAGTTTTCTTGAGCTCCAGTTAGGCGTCCGATAACTTGGTCTCATAGGATCTTGGATACAATATAAGTCAAAGTAATTCCTTTATGTTTGTCACAAAAGAGTTCTCTCCCTTTTTATAGACTATGATGATGAGTGTAGTACGCCAATCTGACGACGCTACCGGACTCCTATATACTTTCTGGCACTTTCTTCACTCTAATCAGCAATTTCCTACATCCATCCTCGATGACTTCCCGAGGGAAATTGTCAGGTTCTGCTGCTTTACATCCTCTGACGGCAGCTGGAGGACCGATATCTACGTACCACTAGGGTTCAGCTGTATGGGAGGCAACTGAAGCGTTGCTCTAGGGCAGTTGAACTGTGCTTCGAAGTGTTCCAGTTAATGTTTTAGCGTCCCATCTGTTTCAGTGATGGTTTCACTCACCATTGTCTTCTTAGCACTATTCTTGTAAAGCATTAATAGTTACCGCGTTTTACTCAACACTGATGCTTCATTGATCACTTTCGCACTCACCAATGCTCGCGCTTTTCGTCGTGGTTAGAGTTACTTGGAATCAGTCTTCTAGCACCAGTCAGTTCGGTTGACATCAAGGAAAATCAATGATATTTCCTTACCTTCGGGTTACCAACTATCTTTACCGCTGTTTTTGCAGCTGAATTAATATCACGCCAGGTTTCTCTGGCCATTGCTGTCACGTTTAGGTACGTGCTCACCCAACTCCTCCCTAAATGAGTGTTTGACGCCCTCATCTACCAGTGGAGTACAGATGGGTCTCACTGCTTCCTGTTCCCTGCAACCAGTTAGGTGCAGACATACAAAAGCCCGTACTAGCCTGTGATCGGAATCCAAACTGGTTCTACAGAAAAGAGTGGCGATCCTGTCCAACAATAGCTTATAGCAATGTGATCTATCTCTGTCCATCATTGGTTGGCTCGAAGGCAGTGGGCGCTATGTGAGACAGTGTCTCTTCTTATACCTAAAGTGGAGAGGCACACTTTCTGCTCCACGCTCCAATGCTATGTTCACACCAGCACGTCCATCAGAGCTAGGCATTGGATGTCTGGATATCCTGAAGGTGAATTTTGAAGATTCACTTCTATGGCCAGGTGAGCTGAATTTAATAATCACAGTTGAGTCCTGTATACTTGTCTCAGAGACACAGAATACTTCTATGGCTAGAGATTCCAAACTTTTGGCGAGCGATGCTCGCTGTCTAATTTGATATAGAGTTCGGACGTTGAAAGTATCGACATGAAATCGACAGCGTTGTCTTAGTAGACTAGATATGAGGTTTCGATGATTCTCATCGTTGTGAATGGCTGCAGAGCGAGAGGTTGGGTAAGACGTGAGAGGCCTAATATTAGTATCAGGAGGTGAAGGGAAAGGAGTAGACAGAGTTGAGGGGGGATAGTTCATGTTTGACTGGGTCATCTGAACTGCTGGAAGCGTGCGAGCGGTTGACACTTCCTAGCTGCCCACACCGTGGAAGGTTATTTCTCCATAAGGTACCTGAAAGAAGAAAAGATTTGTGAAACCACAGAGTCCATGGGATACCTGCTTGATGTCTGTCATACGGCCTCTAGCAGGTTTTCTTTTGAGATGTGGTTGTTCTAACGCTGAATAGAGAGAACCCATACCGCCGGCATGAGAAAAGCGTGGGTATTACTTCTAAGGCCAACCTTTTCTAAACCACTTTACGTTGAGAAGGCAGCATGAACTTGGGGCTGCTGGTTATCCAAGTTCAACCCCATATTACTATCACGCTGCATCCAGGTAGCAGTAGTACGACAGCACCTTCATACTCGCACTGTAGACTAGTAATTTACACTACAACAGTAGCTACTTTTCGTCTTACCACTATCCAATAGATATTTCAGGCATGGTAGGACCTCGAGGGAACAAGAGTTCCACTAGCATACCTCGCTGGGTCATCGTGATATGCAAGCTCGATCACCGCCAAGGTAGCCTATCGGTCGGGATAGATCTATACCAGCAAAAAGAACAAAAAGCAAAGTAATAAAACATTATTAACTCAAAACAGAACTTCACTTTAATACTGCATCCAAAGTCGACTTACAAAAACTAGTTTTTACTCTCTAATAAAGACTGTCGATCACAACTTATACTTACTACTTTGATGTGGTGATCAAGATGTATATCCCAATGACTCAACGAACCTTAGGATCCTATCATGCCAAAAAGGTCTGCTGGATAGGGATAGTGCTTATTAATACACTACGGTGGGTTTCTGAAGCTGCAGTCGTATTACTAGTTGTGTGACAGCAGCAGAGTATTTTCCATGGAAAACAAGCAGTAGGTTGCTATCTTTCCAATTGGAAGGGGAATTAGAAAATGTTAGCCGTAAAAATAGCGCATTCCCCTCTACCATTCAATATTTCGGTGATGGCTTCTTGGGTTTCCCAAATGGATTTTCGGCAACCTAATTGACACCTTAAACCTCTGAAAAGGCGGTATGTGGCTGGCTTCGATCACATTTTCTTTGGAGTCAGCGGTCGTGCACCACTATTATTGGTCACATTTACTCCACAGGTATGTCGAAAAGAACTATCCTTCCAAGACATGGGCAGCCCGCAAGTGCCAACCACCCTTACAACTCTGCCAGCACTCAAGTAGCCTCAGATCACTGTCGAACTTCTAAATCTTTGCCTTTATATCTTTCTTCAGATCTACCAGTCAACAGTCCTATATTATGTCTAATTTTTCCCAGCTCTAGGACTTGATAACGATATAAGTTCAATAAAAACCACCCCGCGTCTTCTGAAACCACACACTGGAGCTTTCAACGTCAGCATCCCTAGCCAAAACTCTAGTACCTCAGGCTATAGATGTGTGCTGCGTTTGGGAGACACCCAGTTATCCCGTTGACCACACCAGGCCAATATGGTGAATCTAAGAAATTCACTTTCAGTTTCTCGAGATAAAACGGCTCGTTTTCACAGCCTTACAGGTGTAGATTTAGCAATAAATCTTAGGGCAGAAAGTGCACTGCTCGACTGGATTGCAGTTAACAGTCGCTTGTGCGCTGTCCGACAGAATAGTGAAGTGGGAACTAAAACGAGCAGTGAAACTCGTCGTTGTCTGTTTGTAAACTATCGTTTCTCATCCAGGGACTGCAGTTCGGACGTTATGAAAGATGAGATCTACCGAAAACAACCTAACCTACAACTGAAAACAAAGCGACCACATATGGCAGTCGTAGTAGTTGATTTCAGTGCAAAAAAAAGTCAGTTAAGGAAAGGCAGAAAAATGCTAAGATGACGATTTCAAAATCCAAGTCAAACAAACAGAAGACGGCGATGCCACAATTGCGCTCAGAAAATCATGAAATTCTGGCCACAAAGAGTTTTTGTTATTGTCTGATGTGACGTCTAATAAATTTGGTCCAATGGTAGAGAATGATAAATCAAAATTCTTCAGTCGGTTGTTGAAGAGAGTTGCAAGAAGACTACACATCCATCTGCAGCATGTGTTCGAATAATCAAATAGCTGTAGATTACTCAATTTGCAGGTGAAGTTCAGTGGGTTAGGAAAAAATAAGTCCAAATTGACGTGCAAACAGAAGCAATATCTTGATAAGATTATAGAAATGATTGACGGTATGTTTTCATGAAAGCAATATAAAAAGAATGCATCTCACATTATTACTGGTCAGGGTGTGGGTAAACGTCATCCCAAGGTCTTATAGTGTTCTGTGTGAAAATACGTATTTTCTGTTTTCAAGCATATATTTTGAAGTGAAAACTGCAGTCGTAAATCCTTTTTGCTGCAATTTGAAGGCTCAATTAACTTACTTTGATAAAGGAGCATCATTCTTCATGCATAAATGTACTCACATCCTAACTAGGAGGTGGAAGTGTAACCAATACTTTTCACATGAATAAATGGCATGAAACATGATCCAGTGACAGAGAGCATTTTAGAAGCCATAAAAATAGATAAAATACGCATACAGAATACAAAAAATACACGAACTTGCACACAGAACGCATGATAACTTTTAGCCTGGCCTTACTGGTCAAATTTCATGATTCATACCACCCAACTAAGTACCATACATAAGATAAAGATTATTCTCGTATCACGCAGCAAACCGATAGAAATTTATACTCTAACTTAAAAGCCAAACATAGTTTGTTGAAGTTAATGATACTACTAGACCGTTCACGTCAACTTAAGTGGAGAATAGATTGAACCCGGTACCCATTCCAACTAAGCTCATTAGCCACACCTCAGTTAAGATCTACGTACACTTTAACAATAAACCGTTAACAGTAGTCACTCAATGGTCAGACATTAGCAGTACTAATGATCAAAACAAATAACAACCCTATTATCATAATTACAGTCACAATTCGCAACAAAACGTAACATATTCACTCCAACTGACAAAAGAACTGCATAATATGAAGTAGTATTCAATTTTCTCTACATATAAAAAACTTGGTGGTGTAGGAGAAACGATCGAAGAAGATTACGAAAGTGTACAAAGACCTATACACAGAAAAAGTTTAAGCAGAATGAGGCAAAGAGAAGTGAAAGGTGGTCACGATTTCCAAATTTAGTTGTCTACACAAAAATAATGACAACGTGAATGAATTGTTGAGAGATAGAAATAGACTTCGATTAATAAGGACGAGAAGATAAGAAAGAAATGACTATCTTTCAACTATATTCTAAAAAGATTAGGACTAAAGTATAAAAATCTTTACTAACTTTTCTGAAAAAAATAAATTTGAGTTTTCTGAAAGACAATTCATAATGGTATCAATATCAGTATTAACATCAATAAAGGGGAGGGGATAAGTCGATTTCGTATTACAACTGACTAAACGAAACAATCAAAAAACAAATGCAACTGGGTTTTGCTCTCTTCTCTTTTGCTTTCCAAATAAAAGATATAAAATTTGTGAATACATGAAGTGACTACTGAGTTATTGTAGTCACTGAAGAAATAAACGAAATCTTCGCAGTTATTATTTGCAACCAAGACCAGGAACACCTAATAATTCAGAAGTGAATTCGAAAACAAGATATGTAACGCAAACAGACGGTAAAGTTTTCGACAGACTAGCACACATACCACCATATAATCCTTTGAACCCATTCTTTCTTACAATACAACGCAGAGATTGTATAATGGGAGCACCACATGGAGATGATGATGCCTGAAATCGAGTTCTAAGTAAATTAGCTGGATAGGTAACCAACATCGGGATGCAAGATGATGTTAAAATTAATGGAACAGTTACTGCAGCTGGCATGTGAACTTTTACAGTACGATCTGTATTTGGTTGTAGAGAATAATGATACTCTAGATAACGTCGTTTAAGCATCTGAAAAAAAAAGGAAATTAAAAACAAATATCAATTCGATAAATGTGTGAATTCTGTCGGGATAAATGAATACCTGATGCAACTTGATCACCACGTGTGTAAATGCATTACAGACATAAAAGGATATTTTAGGAATTCATACATACACTTGAGATTTTATTCACTACTAGGGTTTATAAATAATTGATCCTGAAGATAGTTTACACTTAACACCGATAAACGGTAGAAAACTGTAAAAAATCGGACAGAACTGCTTCAATAACTACTCAGTAGTAAAAATGGCGGACCACAAATAAAATCTAAGACACAGATAGACCACCATATTGTTATTCATTACCTTTAAGAGTCGGAGAAAATTGCAATTCCGTCTACAGTTAATGTTCAAATAGTCATCAGTCGTTAGGAAAAATATATGTTTGCGCCTCAACGGACGTTAGAAGACTATAACTGAGGAATAGATGAGTGCAGCCCTATGATGGAAATACAAAGGCTTCTCTCAAATGAAAACTGATTAGATAAAACAAAGTCATTGGTCCTGAAGCAAAATGGAATTCTGTACAGTCTTTTGTAAAAATGGAGCAGAAGACCGTAGCTGTACTTCAGGAAGTGCTTAGAAAGAGCCGGTAAATTTCAGTAGCTTCTTCTGAATAACTAGATGCATGCGAACGCAACCCTGCAAAATTTGGATACACTGAGGAGAGGATGCAACTCAAATGTAGACTGACAAACAGTCAAGGCGATGACCGCGGACGGTGGTCGGCACCGAAGGCTAAAATTAACGGCGATATAAAACAGTAGACAGCTATTCAGACTCATCAAGAAAACTTGGAGCGAAAAGCTCAATAGTTAGTGAGACTATAATGGAGAATGATGGGTCTGCGACTCACTCACAGGCGAGACAACTGGGGCGATGGGTGAAACACTTTGAGGAACAGTTCAATCGACCTCCAGCTACCATTCGTTGCCCGTCATCCAGATAGATAGGAAGAACACCAAGATAGCACAACTAATACTTGCAGAAATGGAGAAAGCTGAAGGTAAACTGCAACAAGGAAGATCAGCAGAGCCAGATGGACTAGTTCCTGAGGTATTTAAGAACAGTGGTCAAGGATGCTTAGTCAAGTTAGCAGAAGAGTTAACAATTGTTTGAGAGTGAGATACAGTCTCCTCTGACTGTTAATAATCACCGATTGTCCCAGTCTTCAAGAAAGGTGAGAAATCATCCTGTGATAACTACGGAGCAGTCAGTACAACGAATATAGTGTCCGAGATTCTAGGCATGAGCGCAGCTGAGGAACATCAAGCTCGAGGAAACCAGGGGTTTCTGACCTGACTTTGGGTGTATCGACCAGATATTCGCAATATGAATTGCGTGCACTTACCCGTGCTCGATACTAGCTATATTTCTCGATCTAAAAACGGCATCCAACTCCGTTGACCGACAGGTCTTATGGCAGTGTTTCTCACTGAAGGAGGTACCGAGTAAGTACATCATCCTATTAAACGTTCTTTATTCAAACAACAGTGAGCGTGTTATAGTCTATAATAAGGTATCCAGTGAGTTGTGGATGGTGAGCAGTTTCTATCAAGGATTCCCAATCTCCATTCTTATTCACCTTTGTCATAAATGTTCATATGAAAGTCTCGCTCACGTCATATGACTTCACAGGAAATGATCCGATCACAAGAAAATCTTTGGTAGATGACAGTTAGGTTAGGTGAAGACGCTGACAAGAAGCAGTTTTCTGGACACTTGGAGTGGGATTTCGAGAATACTTGGGACGTTTCTTACCACCCAAATTCAAATCGTTGCTCAAGGAACGATCTTCGCTAGTATCTTGACCACTTCACCTACTTAAGAAGTCACATCAGCGTTGATAGTTGGTGGTAGAAGTCTCTGAACGGATACAAGAGGCTCCCTCGTCCTTGGCCAACTTATTCCACTTATTGCGCCGCCATGATATCCGGTTATCTATTAAGGGTCGAATGTACTACACTGGAGTTCATTGCGTTCTACTATGTGAGGCTGTGAATAATGGTCACTGCAGGTAAAGGATATAAGAAGGCTTCAGGTGTTTGCCCAGTGTTACCTTCGTACCATATGCTGGGTGTTGTGCCACGCTGAGAAATGTCGACTTGTCGCGGTCCACGTGACAACAGAATCCAGTGGTTGGACATTCAAGGTGACATGTCTCAGAATGGATCTCAGTAGCACAGATGTATTCACACATAATCCTTATCTTAATTACCATACTGAATTCAGTACTTTCTTATTACTCCTTGTTAACTTATCATGACCCAGTATGTGAACTGCTTTCACCTTAGTGCTTTTTCGCTAGATGTCCTGATATGGGATGTAGCAACTTGAACTGTTGCACACTAATCCTTATCCTATGTTGGTCTTGTCTATCTGTCCGATAGTTTGACTGCAATTAGAATTAGTATCCTTACAGGTGTGGAACCAATAACTCCTAGGTATCTTTACTACCAGCCACATTTTATCATACCTTGTTACCCTTTCCATAGCAAAACGAATTACCACAATGGCTTTATCTGTAATTGTATCCGCTCGGAAGTGGAAAGTGACTCTAACTAAGGTGTACTCCATATGCAATCTCACAGAACATATTAAAGTTCTTTGAACTGAAATTAAATTGTGTTATGTAGCAGAGTGCGAGCACAAAAGATCATGATTCGGTCTGAGCAACATGCCCGAGATGAATAAATCTCTAGGAAGCACAATCATGAAGAAATACTGAGCATTACTCAAAGAGTGCTATCGAAAGAAATTTTACTGAATATGTCTTGGAAACACCTCTCATGTTCTGCAAGTGATCTAATTCTTAATCAGCCCTCTAGACAAATACATGAATGCAAAAGAAAAGTAGTTGTACTACACTTTTAAGCCTACACAACGAAACTGTCGGATTTTTATTGAATATTTGGTAAATTAAGTAACTAAAAATTAACGTTTGTTACTTGTCTATTGTTAGAACTTTTCAGAAACACAGGTAAACTAGAAAGTTTATAAATTGCGGCAAAATGAAACTTACCTCATAAAGGCATAATTCCATCCCAGAATAGGGTACATAGCTCATCATACTGATTTTATAACCTCGATAAAAGCCACGAAAACCGCCTTCATTATACAGTTTTCGAGTTACATTTAACATGGAATTCGTCTCGTGCGATCTGCGCAAAGCCATCCGAGTTTTTAATATCTAAAATAAAATACATATTTAAGGTATTTCGCTTCGTAAGATTTTGAAGTCTGAGTAGTGATGAAGAAAATTTATTTTGGTTACAAATAACTAGGTGAGATAAGTCATCAATAAATTACATAACTCTCTAGTGTGACACACCAATCGCAGAAATTTTATAATTTTACTGTTCATGGATTTTGAAATTGAACTTCCGGCTTCAACTTTCTGTACACAATCAACAGAAAGACAGGCAAAAAAATCAACATAGAACCTCCCACAGAAGTAAATCCCTTCGACATGTCGTAGTAGCATGAAAAAACAAGTGGATAGAGAAATACTGATATCAAAGTAGACAAAGGTGTATGAACGGAGAAACAGTTCGAAGATAAAGTTCAGTGAAAATGTTCAGGCTTTAGGAGACGTCAAAAAGTGAATACATCTGCACTATTGCGTCCAATTTTTTTCCATTTCACCAAGAATCTCCAACCATCGATTCCTGTCGTCTCGGTAATCCGTCACGTAGCAGGCAGCCCCCTTTGTGGCTCATACTAACAGTCAGAGACTTCATGAAAAGATGCTGCCTTTGTCTGACCATCCAACCTTATTCATCTGCTAACATTGCACGTCGATGTAGGCGCTGGTTCGGCAGGCACCACACGTCCAAGGCACCTCAGTCGCGAAAAGATCACAACCTCGCTGAGTTGCCTTTCACTTGACGTCGACATCGTTAACACGACTGCACCATACGCAAGTGATGCTACGAAGACACCTATGGTCGAAAACCTGTAACCGCTTCATAAGTTCTACTTTCGACGACCGTGTATGAATACAGACAATAAATTATGTCTGAAACGTTATCCAGTAAAATGATACTATTACACTGTGTGAGATTTCTAATAGACAGATTAAAATGAAATTACAATCTATCACAGCGTCCACGCTTTACCCCTATATTGATAAGATGTATCTAGGATTCTGTCCATTACTATAGCTGCAAAGAAATTAGATAGGGACAGTGGACACCACTAGCTGTCGTCAACTTTGAAGACAACTCTCCACAAAGCATTACACGTCTGAGTGAGTTCGAATAGACAGCGTTGATTAGCGTTATGTATTCGTTAGGTACCCGTTTCACAGTCAGACTCTACCACAACACCTCACGGTTGACCGAGTCAAATGTCACGTTCAGGTCAAGAAATATGCCGAGTGTCAGTCACTGGCCGGTAGGTATGTCTGTGTTTTGGAACCTGTCGGATGCCCAAAGTTTGCTTGATATACCATCGTCCAGGTCCGAAAACTGTCTGGTTTTCTCAAGCTCCAGTTAGGTCTCACAGGATCGCGGACATAATATTGGTTAAACTAATTCTTTTATGTTTGTCACAAAAGAGTTCTCTCCCTTCTCATAGACTATGATGATCAGTGAAGTACATCACTCTGATGGCACCACCTAATTCACATACACTACGCAGTACTTCCGTTACGTTAATCAGCAGTTTGCCACCTACACCTTTGAAAACCTCAGGTAGGAAACTTTCAGGTGCTGCTGCTTTGCATCCTTCCAGGTTCCATACAGTTAACTCACTTCTAGGAGGGTTGGAGGACCGATATCTACATCTCAATCGAGTTCGACTGTATGAAGAGTAACTAAAGCGTTACTCTGGGTAGTTGAAGTGTGCTTCGAAGTGTTCCACCAAACGTTCTAGCGGCCTGTCCTAGGAGGTTATCAGCATACCACCATTTTGGATGACGGTTTCGATAACATCGGTTTCTTCCTGCAGGAGTTTTGAATAAGCTTAGATAGTTGCCAGGTATTGTTTGACTCTTCTGCATACAATTATATATATATATATATAGTCATGCAGTGCGCAACGGGTCACCTCTGTTCAGTGAGGGATAATGAATTCCCAAACCTTGGTAGGCGGGATGGTGTTTGAACCCGCGACCTAATGGTTGCAGGTCGACTCAATAAACCAACGCACCACGACCCTACTGTCCTGTGAAGGCTAATGACGCTGCCTAGTAAGTAGCACAAACCTCAAAAAGTGTGGCAGCATTTGAGAGCATGGGTCACTGCATTACATGAAACTCCTTGCACCAATGAACTACAGCTGCGATAGTGCACATGCTTTAGGTCATGGAAACCAAGAGTACTTTCGCACAGTTGGTAAAAACATTTGTCTTTACTCACGATTGGTGGAACAATTATGTAAAGCAATCGAGAAGTTTATACGTCTGAAAAGCTGTTTAAGTGCAGGTGGTATTACTGATGAGACTTCTAAACGTGAGGATGAATGATTTAACTTACTAAATGGTTATCCGTTAAACTTCATAAATAAACACATGTCGAAACCTAGAGAGAGGATAAAGGAAGACAAGGTTACTAAAATGCCTATATACCTTGGACTAAGTTTCAAAGGTGATATTGCCGCGGATATCTTAACACATCGACTAAGTAGATCAATCAAAAGGGCATTCACTACAGCGAAACTTTTTGTCAGCTTCTCAACCAAACCATTACTGACACAGCGGACCAAGGATAGGTTACCTACGATGGCCACTTCAATGTGTATTTATGAGTTCAACTGCTCCTGTGGAGCTAATTACATAAGCCGTACTCAAAGGGCTCTATCCATGTGCGTTCATGAAAACGTGACATCTTGGTTAGGGAAAGGAGTGACAAAGAACATCAACAGTGCAATCCCCTCACATCTAGTAGATACCGGACATCAGATAAAGGTAGATCGCACCTTTTCTGTGATATACCATGTCCCTTCGCATCTTATCCATAGCCGAAGCCATAGGGATCAACACAAGAAAACTGGACCTGTGTGTTCAAAAGAAATATGTACATCCGATTTTATTTACCTTGGCCCACAACAGGGTCGACACCTTCATGAACTTTTCTACCACAATTGCACATTTCAACCTCCCGTCCCTTTCTTCTATATTGTTATTACATTGATAAACATTCATTTCCTTCTTTATTCATACCACAACCTGTAGTCATTTTCAACCATGACGTAACACTTCATGTTTGTTATTCTCCATTTCGTTATGGTATTCATATGATTTTCATCTCACTTGAATATAACTCATCACTACATAATTATTATTTGACCTTAGTCGACAAACACACACACACATCCATGACCAATAAATGTATATAAATGAATCATTATCTCTAGATTTTGTCTTCCCATTTCGTAATTGTTCTGTCAATATTGATTTCATTGCACAACTGACACACTAGACTGATAACCATTCCACCATTCCAATCGATTTGACCTTCATTCACCCATAACGCTGACTGCTTCAATATAGTAAGAATTGTATATCATGCCTTATTTCAGCTGTCACTTATTCTCATAGATTTATAACTGTAGAGCCTGAAGAAGAAGTTACTGAAAACAATTGTTCGCTCAAATTATTCTTGTTCCGAAAAAATAAGAACTCAGCAACTTCCCAAGACCTTTGACTTCTATGGTATCGAAGAGAAATAAACCTGTCGAATTTAAGTGTTGAGGTATGGTGTTTCAGTGCATGAACTAGAAAACTGGAAAGATATTACTCAAAAATTAGAAAATCAGAAAAAGACTGTTATATTGGATCTAATTTTTGAAAATAGAATTTCCAAAACAGGTTTGTGAATGTTCAGTTTTTCTGTGTACAAGTGTTGTATACACAAGCATACGAAACACGGTAAATAACATAAAATATTTTCAAATATGAACAGGATAAAGGAAACGATCCTATCGCTAAGCTGCAACCAACTTACTTCGATGGGATAAGTTATTGTTAACGATGAGGCGCCAGCCAAGCTAGCCACCAATAAACGATCTTCTGGAGGCAGTGGTCCTTTCACATTAGGAAAAATGACCGACTTAAGCCACCCATGTAGACCGAAACGAATGGCACTCTCCGGGCAGTTTTTTAAATATTCACCCCATTACCACGCCATAAAGACAGAACACCTCCTTCTTTAATCATTGCATGCAAGCCTACAACAAGTAATAAAAGGTAGAAATAACGATATGATAATTGTGTGAATTTTTATGACAGTTGAACCAAAAAACGAAAGAGTAATTTACCAATAATTTAAATTAATAGGAAGCACTGTTAGTGCCACGTGGTCCACTCACATCAAACATCTAGGCAGACTGAGAGAGGAAAATATGAAAAATGTCTCGAGAAAATCAACTAGTTACCATTACAAGTAATACTATAGTGATGCAAACAGTAAATCTTAGATCTAAGAAATTTCAAGGAATTGCTGTAGACGCAAAAGCCACTATGCATTCTAATGAATACAAGCGATACATTGATTAGCCACTGGAGAGTAACTAACTTTATGTTATCTGATACTAACTACTGAGTGGATCCTATCGATCACTTCGTAATGAAAAGCCTCAGCACTGAATGTGCATTTTGACTGATGTTAGGCGATTAGATATAATCGGCAGAAAGCAACGGATACATGCTTTGTGTTAGTTGGCCCTCCTTAACAAGGGGTATCTGGAACCAACTAACCAAACAATTTCAGGTTGTATGCTATATGTAACTGCCATTTATATCACCTATACTCTAATAAGTTGGTTTTGTGACTTTTTGAATCAACTATATTTTATTGAGGACTTTTTTCCACAGATTGTTCTGCAGTGACATTGCTCTGAAGAACATACTGCTTTGAAACGATTGGATTGACTAGTCAGCAGGGATGAAACCACAGATACAGTTCAAATGTTGGACAGACAACTCAGAAACACAGTTCAAATGGCACTCAACAACGCTTCAGATACCAAACATCCAGCATGAACCCAGATAGAAAAAACATTCCAATACTTACATTTCCTGTGAGTAGAGGAGGCCGGATAGGGCCCAAACGATGCAAAACAGCAGAACCTGACAGTTTCCCACCTGAGGCTTTCAAGGATGGAAGTAGGAAACTACTGATTAACGTGACGGAAGTACTGCGTAGTATATAAGAATTGGGTGATACTGTTAGACTGGTGTACTTCACTGATCATCCCAGTCCACTAAAATGGAGAGAAATCTTCCTGTCACAACCATACGCGAATTAGTTTGACTAATATTGTGTCCACGATCCTACGCTCCATATTTATCCGACGCCTAACTGTAGCTCGAGAACAGCAAACTAGAAAACCAAGCAGTTTTCAGACAGCTGGGCAAGGATGCGTCGATCATATTTTCGGCATCCAGCAGGTTCCAGAACACAGACATACCTACCGGCCAGTGACTGACACTCGGCATATTTCTTGACCTGAACGTGACATTTGACTCGGTCAACCGTGAGGTGTTGTGGTAGAGTCTGACTGTGAAACGAGTACCTAACAAATACATACGCTAATCAACGCTGTCTATTCGAACTCACTCAGACGTGTAATGCTTTGTGGAGAGTTGTCTTCAAAATTGACGACAGCTAGTGGTGTCCGTCAGAGACATCCAATGTTACTGTTCCAGTTTGCTTTCATTATAGCTGTACCATGGACACAATTCTCGGTACATCTGACTTCACAGGGATCGATGTACTCCCTGCAGGTCATCTGGTTGACTTGGAGCACGGACGCGACATTGTCCTACTGGTTGAAAACGCCAACACAATACAGGGTCTTGTGAATATGATGAGAAGAAATCTGAGTATGGTTGGTATGCGTTTCACTGGCACCTGTCAAATGTGAGATAATACTCCAGGACTGGTGTGCTGCGACGACTCGCAGTTGAATGATATGGAGTGAAGTGGTGGAGTACGTCGACCACTTCACTTACTTGGAGTATAGTGTGTTGAAGTTCGTTCTATCCTGTTGTACAGCTATGAGGCATGGTCGTTGAAAGTGGAAGATATGAAGCGGTAACAGGAGTTTGATCATAGGTGTCTTTGTGAGGTTGCTCGAGCGCGTTTTGTGGAATCATGGTGTGAGCAATGCTGAGGTCAGGGAAGGTTACTAGTCAAGACAGGGAAGTCGGTTGATGATGTTGTGAACCTTAATCGACTGAGATGGCTTGGACATGTACTGTGCATGCCGAGCCACCTCCTACCTAGACGTGGCAGGCTAGGGAAAGGTGGACTAGGTAGGTTGGAAGGAGGGAGGTTTAGGGTGACCAGAACAAGACCTGGCACTAATCGATGAAGTGTCTTGCTGTTGGTCTGAGGCATCTGAGGAGATGTAGACTACTCGGTTGGGGTCTTGAAGACGAGAGGAAACAGTGCTTGAGGACTGTTGGTGATATGGTAGGAAATCGGTGACAACGGCGCAGATGTATTCACTCTTTGGCATCTTCTAAAGCTTGAATATTCGCACTAGCCTCTTTCTTCACGTTGTTGCTTCTTTCGGAAAACGTTTTCTTCTTTGGTATCAAAAGATTATGCATTTCTGCTCTGATAGTTTGACTTTGTTGCTTTAAAGGGACGAGGAAAATCAGTCCTAGTTAGTCAATCAACAAACTTGATATAGGAAGAAAGCATGCAAGAAAGATGAACGAAATTTTTCACAAGGGTTCAACAGACAATTATATCAAATGGGGTGAGGAATGTAGAATTAACTGAATTAGAAAACACAGGTTGAAACAAGAAATCAAGGTCTTAAGTTTGAATAATTGTATTCGCCATAGGTACATCTGGCGATTTCCATTGTAGAGTGACATGTTTTATGATGAACTGGAAAGTCGCATGATATAAGCTGAAGTATGTTCAGGATAGAGAAAGGTCAGAGACTGCCAGACTAAAGCATGGCATCAGCCGATGAACTCTGACTATTGGCCTGAGCCATGTAAGTAAATGTAGACTTCCCTATTGGGGTCCGTGTGAAAACAGAAACCAGCGGTTGGAGATTGTAGGTGACATAGCTCTGATGTATCTCTATTGAAAGTTTCGGAATATTGTGGTAATGTATTGATAACTCGAAAGTAGAAAGTAGGTATTGTGAGTAAATGTAATTCCAAATAAGATTTTTTAATGTCATGCAGTGCACAATGATAGACCAAGAGTTATTCCATCACGATTCAGATACAAATTATTGGATGTAATTACTGAACAAATTAATTGTGCCTAGAATGTCAACCACTGAATAACACTACGTCTCTGCGTGCTAAATAAATAAGTCTGATGTGATGTGATTGTAAATGTTGGTTACATTTACTCAACCGACAGCTGCTACCTTGACGTAGTGGTCAGGCTTGTATACCACGATGACCCGACGAGCACTGCTGGTTGAACGCGTGTTCTCTAGAGGTCCCACCACATTAGAAGGTCTGTTGGATAATCGTTAAATAAAAAGAAGTCACCCTTACCCGTAACAAGTTTTTGAACAGAGATGATGCATTGTGGTGGGTTAGGTCAATCACTAATGGTTAGTCGTGACCAACAACCATAGCACGTATGCCCGTATACATCTATAATACAGAAGAAATGTCATGGCATCAAAAACTCGTACGTGAACGGCCTCAATCAGATGCTCCCTGGGCTCTACACTAGCTCTTCTTTTCCGGGTGCCGTAGGAAGACCAAGCCTTCTAAGATGTGGGCAGCCAGGAAGTGTCGACTGCCGTCACGACTGTCAGCACTCAAGTTCCCTCATATCACGATTCACCCTCACATCCGTACATTCCAATCTTCCTTCACATCTCTCAGTCAATCGCCCTTCATCATCTGTAATTTGTTCCAGCTATACAGCTTTTGATAACGATCTGAGTCCACAAAACAGCATTCCTGGTCTCCTCAGACTACGCTGCAAACTACACATTGGGACCTTCAATGTTCGCACCCTCCGTCAAATTGGTCAACAGGCTTCGTTGGCAAAGACTCTAGCCAACTCGGGGAGTGGATGTGTGGTGTGTTTGTGAGACACGCATATGGGACTTAAGTGCGTTTATTCACTTAATCTCACCCGACCAATATGAGAAATCCGTGAAATTCACTCATCGAGTTTCTGGAGATTCGATGGCCAGCTCTCACTATCTTGTAGTGTAGGCATAGCATTAAGCACTAGGGCGGAAAGCTTACCACTAGACTGTATACCAGTTGACAGTAGCTTATGCGCTATTTGGCTGAACAGACACTAAGAGCTGAAAGTCGAAGTAGAACTCGCCGTTTACTCTTTGTAATGTCTGCTTACGCACCCACTGACTGCCGTTCGGATGAGTTCTCGGAAAACTGTTTAGCCTCCTCTCGAAAGCCAGACGTTCGGACATGGTGGTTGTTGCAGTGATTTCAATGACCAAGTGGATAGACTGAGTGAGGCAGAAAGGGACTTAGTGGCACTTTCGGAATCCGGCTGAACGAACAGATAACGGTGATCGTCTAATACACTGTGCACAGATAACCGCCTATTTTTAGTTAGCACAAATTTCAGATATAAATAAAGACACTGTCTGACGTGGCGTCCACCGACCTCAAATAAGCGATGAACACAAATAGGCCACATTGGTATCATCATCTCTGGAGAGGATCGGCGGAAGACTGCCTCTCCTTCTGGAGTACGTGTTTGGATAACGACCACGCTTTGTCCGAGCGCGTACATGTCTGAGTCTCCATAGACGTGGAGAAACTTAAGCAACAGGAACATCACGAATGAACTCGACAATGAGAGCGCTTAGGCCTATTTCAGTTGAGAAACTGACCAGGAAGTTATCGTATAAGAACGCTACGACTCGTCCAATAAGAAGCATAGTGTCATTTCCCAATTTGTTGTAAATACAGACGTGAAACCGTAGTCGACCCTCGAAAAGTGATAAAAAAGGAGCCAGGGGATATCAATGGGTTCTTTTGAAGGAAGGGATGCACGCGAATGCACCCCTGCAAGCTTTAAGTACAATCACAAGTAAATGCAACTCAAACGTACAGTGACTAAACGTCTATGCAATGACCACGAGCAGTGGTGGCAGCAAAGGCCAAAGAGATGCAAATGTAGCAGCGATAGGTAAGAGCAGACTATTGTTTAGACATGTTATCTACTTCGGCGAAAAAGTCATGGTTTAATAACTCT